GCAGTAGTGACCCAAGAGACAAGAGGTCGATATCAGATTGCACCAGATGGGCCCAGTGGGAGTCACAAAGCACTCGAAGTCCTCGGGAATTAGGTATCAATCCTCACAAACGCGACGACAAGCTCCAAACTCGGATGAGAACGAGCAATGACAAATTTGTCTGAAAGGAGACTACGAGGACGTTGAAAACCCAACAAAGTTTAACAAAGAGCTGTCAGCTGGGAGGGCTCAGTAGAAAGACCAGCAGGCACAAGTACCGTGGAAAAAAACCTTCTGTCTCCTCGGGTGCTGAGTCCGAGGCCCAAGCAAGAAGAATCTATAGAAAATGTGTAGGAAGTGAGGGGAGCATGTTTATGCTGTACATCAATGCATGCAGCGTTAGGAATAAATGGACAGAACTGTCTCAGATGATCCGGGCACAAAAGGTGACTGTTGCGGCAATCACCGCGACATGGCTGAATAATATGGACCATATATCGCAGTTAGTTCAAGAGTTGTTCTCCGTCTACCGACTCAACCGTGACCAAGAATATGCGGGAGGAGTGGCATTTCTCGTTAGAAGCGGCACAGACTACATAAAATCAGAGACCACTCTCTGCACGAGAAATGTTCAGTTGTGAACACTAATTCTACTACTAGATAATAGAAGGGTCAACGTAGTTTGTGTTTATCGTGAACCGGGTACAAACCGTGCAGAGGACAGTCAACTGCTGTGTGCTCTCACAAGAATAGCTAAAGAAGCTAACAAAGCAATTACTGTTGGCGACTTCAACCTACCACATATACGCTGGAGGTCTGAGGTCTGCAACCTGGAGTCAGCCGAACAGGACTAACTCAAATGGTTGCATGAAAATGCCCTGTGGAAATATGTTAAGGAAAGCACTAGATTCAAGTAATTCCGGTAATCCTCTATCCAGGGGAGCACTGAGAGATCGTATAGGACCATTAATTACAGGTGCTCCAAAGGTCGTTATGAGCGGCCAGGGTAAGGCAGATGCCTTGGCTGGCTATTTTGGCAGTGTACACCGAACAGATGACGGTATTTCAAGAACCCTGGAGCTGGGACCCTCACCGCCAGAAGTTGCGGAGATTCAGCTATCGAAAGAGATGGTGCGTCAGTATTTGTAGGGTCTGGACGTCCATAAGGCGGTTGGACCGGATGAGATTCATTCAGCTATCATAAAGCCCATAGCAGACATCCTCGCAGGGCCGGTGTATAAACTATACAAAGTTTCACTAGACCAGGGCGTTCTACCGAGGGACTGGAAGGTAGCAGCGGTGGTGGCTGCACATAAGGTGGGATACCGATCAGAGTTAGGTAACTACGGTGCAGTCGGCTTAACTAGTATTATTTTGTAAGATGCCAGAAAAAATTGTTCGCGCACATGTATGCCAGCATCTAATGCAGGATTCTATGCTGTGTCTAACACAACATGGGTTTCTCAAAAGTAGATGGTGTTTAATTATTCTACTGTGCTTCTTGGATGAAGTTACCAGAAGATTAGACGGGAGGCACAGGGTAGATCTATGTTATCTTGACTTTAGCAAGGTGTTTGACTCGGTCAACCAACGCCTGCTATTAATCAAAATAGAGGCGTTTGGTATAAGGGGATAAATCCACCAATGGCTGAGGGACTTCGTCACCGACAGGACCTTCTACGTCAAAGTAGGTGACAAGTGCTCCCGTACAGCACATGCCACAAGTGGTGTACCCTAGGGCTCCGTACTCGGGCCGATGTTGTTCCTACTATTCCTAAATGACCTTGCTGTGTTGTTGAGATCGCCCACCATTTCTTTGCCGACGATGTCAAGGTGGTTGATTCAGAAGGAAAAGAGGACTTCAAAAGAGGCACAGCTGCTATCCTCAGTTGAGCGCATAAGTGGGATTTGCCCGGTGAATGCTGATAAAAGTCAGTTACCATCGAGGACCGGCGACAGCTTAACAGTAATGCAGGGCCAGGGGTTTTTTACTAAAGAATCAGTAAGTAGGGCTAACGATCCGGGTATCATCGTGACTTCTGACTTCCGTTGAGCAGAGCAGTGCACAGCAGCCGTAAAAAGAGCTCGCAGATAACTCTTCAGACTGAGATCAGCACTGTCTTGCAGAAAACCGGAGGTGCTCGTGCCTCTGTACAAAGCTTTAGTTAGACCTCATCTCGAGTACTGCGTACAGGTATGGTTACCCTTCTTCAAAAAGGAGGCTACGTGCTTAGAGGGAGCTCAGAGGCTCGCAACGAGAATGGTTGAAGGTCAAAGAGGGAAGTAATACTATCAGAGACTTCATGACCTTAGACTCTTTTCTCTGGAGAGGAGAAGACTCCGGGGTGGCCTCATCAAAACCTTCAAAGTAATGAAGGGTTCATCAGGCATAGGCCAGGAAAACCTGTTTCAGGAAGACCTCGATTCGATAACAAGAGGTCACTATAAGAAACTAAGAAAATCTCGATCCAGGATAGTAGCCAGATCACACTTCTTCGGTAATTGGGTGGTAAACCTATGGAGCTCACTGCCAGAAGAGCTAATAGAACTACCTTCGGTTCAAACCTTCAAACTAGCCCTAAATCGAAGGCAGGACGAAGTAGTTTCTGGTTTGAGCAGTGACTTAGCTCTCCCATTAGGGCACCTGTTGAACGCTCAGGTACCTTAACATCTCTCGCCGAGCAGGTTTGATGAGTTGTCCTTTCCTTTCTTTTTTAACAGGAGAACTAACAGATTACTCCATACAGTGGTGGGTGCCGGACCTGTGCATACCAGCGAACGAACTCTGGACGCTCGATTGGCCGTGGCCATTTCCTGTCCTGTGCAAACTGAAATGAACTCAACTGAACATCATTGCTCTCCTGCCTTCAATTTTCATTTGCTGTTCTTATATTTTCTTCTCACCGCGTATTTTGCATTTGTGAATTAGCGAAATGGGTTGGTTTCCGTTACTGTTGTTATCCAATTTCCGGTACAATTGTGATTTTTCTCTCAGCCCTCCGATCAAGAATGTTTGAGTGCTAATTTTCAAGGTCCACACATGTTTGTCTATCACTTTTCGAAGCCAGGAAAACAACAACATTCCCATTTTTTGACGGTTGTCTTCCCATTCCTCTTGTCACTAATGCTGTGTGCAAGCCAGAAAAAAAGTCTGAAAGTAAACTACAAGGCCAGAGAAAAGTTTTCAGTAGTAAGGATAAGAAACTAACCAACTTCCCCTCAATTATCGTTCGTTCTGTTTCCTTCACGAAACAGTCTCCTGCAATTTTGTTCTATCTTCTTCGCCTTAGTTGAGAACACTTGGTTATTTGATACCCAATCCAGCTAAAAGGGTTGAACTGTTTGTCCCATCTGGACTCGAACTTTACCGTACATTCATCCATCACTCTTGTTCACTTACTGGCCCAACGTGGACTCACACTTCAAGCCAAATCACAAAGGAAACATCTACCTAGTGTTGCGTTTGCTAGAAACTTCCAAACCAGACGACTCAGATAGTGTTCCACCAATCGTGTTTGAACATCAATCCAACTCTGTTTTTCCTTTCATTCAAGCTGTTTCACATGGCGTATTCCAGCTGTTGAAAAACTATTCATGTCCTTCGGATTGCTAATCCAGACGAATCTTTGGTCACGAAAATTGTCACCTCATCTTCGCATCCTTTAATTCCAAGGTCATGACAATGTTGATTGCGAATCATTTTCACTGTCACTTGGAACGCCAGAGTTTTCAAAAACTGAAAATATGGCTTAACCACCACATACCAACTGCTATACAAAAACAAAAGATTGGTCCTACATCGCAGGCCATCATCGCCATTCACTCCTGATCTCCTCTTATACCCTCAGGGCGTTCATTACAGTCCAACATGAAGGTCTCCGGGTGAGAATTCCCGATTTTTCACTCTTCCCGTGTTTCATCGATTGCAATGGAAGCAGTCTTTGTGAAAATTTTTTCTCGGTTCGTGTTAGTAAAGTCTTTTCGAGAACGATACCATATAAGTGAGGCATCTCACAAGGTTCCGTATTATCTCTCACCCCTTCAGTGGCTTAATTACTAACCGTTTATTTCAAACTGTTACCCATTCTTGTACTGATCATGCCAAACAACAATGTACTCTTCCATAAAACACTCCCCTGTTTCTTCAATCACTATCAATCACGACAGATTACCTTTTTGTACTGCACTAAGCTACAGTCTGAGTGAACTCTCTGCTTTTAGCTAGTAATTGAAACACCAAAATAATGCAATTTAGGTAATGAATGTTTCATTTGGCCCATTCGCTTTTTCACAGGCATCAATCACTGTTGAAAATCTTTGTCAGTTGCCAAATGAAGTGCATGTTGAAAAGTGACCATGGTTGTTTGAATCTTTCCCTGGGGTAACGGTTACTAAACCCAAACCAAAGGAGCTGGTTAAGTAGTTGGTGTTTAGCTTCATGTTTTTGGGGCCACGTGATCAATCTGGCCCCTGAGTGATGTGCTAGATTGACTTAATGGTGTATCCAGTCATATTCTCGGCACATTCAATTTCAACCACTTTCTTTACCTCCGATTAGGACTGACCATCCTTCTGACCTCCTTATGATGCACAATCTTCTGTTCAGTCAGTCTGTCATACAGTTTGGAGGCACTAGGCACGAATTTCTCTCACAGAGAAGCCCATCACTAGAGAATCAACGAATCAGTCAGTGATAACCACAACCACCAATTATGAAACCACAAATGTCATTCAAAATCAGTCTCTCGCTCACTACTAGGAATCTTTCGAAGCAATGCACATCTAATTGCTTTCTGTTAGAAGTTATTTTCAGTAAACTCACACCGAAACCAGCTAAAATAAAACTCGCTGAGCATTTGATGAATCTCAACGAGACTTCAGTAGCTTGCTCAACATCACCCTATTATGGAACAAAGCTCAAAAGGATTTATGTCCACCTTGCTCTTGGTTTTGAAGTGCTTCTGTGCAGATTATCTTTAGAATTAGAAGAACGTGAACAAGAAAGGAAATAACAGATAGACTCACTTCACATTAGTACGCCCATTTATAACGACTAAGCTATTCTTTCCAGCAATCACTTCCTCATTCACGGAAATTCCGTCCAGGTATTGTTTAAGTAACGACCTCAGTTGCAGGTTTTCTTGTTGAAGCATATCTCTTTCTTTGATGATTGCTAAGCGGTCCAACTGTACTTTGTTAAAACGACGCCAAAACATCTCCAGAGGCGCACAACGACGCATTATCTGAAATAAGGAGTGAAAATGTCAATCGGTTTGAGTAATACTGAATCATGTTCACGTGTTAACTGGGTTCTTGACAGACAAGTATTAACGGGAATCTTTTCCTCCCTCTTACTCAGTAATGCCCGGAAGAATCAACTTAAGCGAATATTGGTTTCTAATATGAAACTGTTTGCTGAGATACGGGATACGCGAGAAGTATGTTTTGCTTCTAAAAGCACTCTACCACCAAACATCGGGGAAATATAGGGCGTGATTAACTCTCACCGTCATTTTCTGTCGCCAATGGGGTACGGCAGGGTTGCCCTATCACTCCGTCTCTCTTCACCTTTATCATCAATGATATTTTGCAAAAGCGCTTCTTATTATGACGAACGCCGGCTTCCAGATTCGTCCTGGATACATAGTCGCAAGCTTAGACTATACCGATGATATTTCCTTACTCGGTGGCAACGCATCGGCTAATCAAAACACGCTCATTTGTTTGGTTATGGTATATCCTTTGAAAATTCCAAATGAAAGATGTTATTGCAAGATTGACAGGAGCCTGTTTCTGCAATTTCGTTGGGTAATGACACTCTGGAAGTAGTCGAGGGCTTCGTTTGCCTCGGGAGTTGCATAACGGCTGGTGCAGGTGTGTGTGAGATTTCTCTACGCGCAATCAAAGGTCGATGGATATTTTTCAATCTGCGGCATCTCTGGCGCGGTGCGATATACAGGTCTAATCGAAACTGAAGCGGTGGGTCTTTGTGAAACAATTGTGGGTTCGTATCAGCAACAGCATTTATACTAAAGTAAATGTTTTTCCAAATAATAATAAACAAGCCTTTGGTGATTCTTCATAGCAGTGATTTTCCTGATTCGTTTATACTCAGCAGATGGAATGGTTCAGAATGTAGAGGAGACTCCCATTTCGTCATTTATGGTTAACATGGACTATGAGACCACAAAGAGCTAACTAAAGAGAATTAAATTTTTTTATTTACAATAAATTTCCTTGATGAGAATGTTAAGCTTGCGTACACTGATAATCGATTGGTCTACCTTTATTCTTTAGGACTTTTTCGAGTCTCTTCGGCATGGAATCTACCAACTTTGTTATGAAGTCATTTTCTACTTTGTGCTCTATCACTCCTATTGGGATATATTGCGTTTTCATCCTTGATAAAAGTTGCGAGTTTCATAATGAAATTATTCAATCTTGGCAACCAGGGTCAGGCACGTGTAACTGACAATCATGTAGCCAAGAAACTATGTAGATCGAATTAGACAAGAGATAACTTATTTTCCATACCTAAGACATTAATTAATATAGGTGATAAATATAATGAACTCAATTTGATCAGANTATATATATATATATATATATATATATATATATATATATATATATATATATATATACAATAAGTGTCCAATGAACAGATTACCTCTGTGTATGATGATGATATTTCACGGTAAACATTGTAATCCATTAATCTCTTGATTAAAGTGCTTACAAACAAGCCGAAAGTTTAAGCGAACTATAGTTGCCACATTCAGGCTAGTTTGGACTTCTAGTGAGTTCCAGGATTCAACTTCATTTGGATCAATGAATTTTCTCTGATGTTTGGTATCAATACGAGTGAACCAGGGGTAC